AGGAAGGAAGGAAGGAAGGAAGGAAGGAAGGAAGGAAGGAAGGAAGGAAGGAAGGAAGGAAAGACATCCTGTAGATACCACTGTATGAAATGATAATCCTTTTGACTGAGAAGAAAAAAAATAAAAAGGACATTTTCACCAAGTGGTGCAAACAATTACAGCTGAGGCAAAGACAAATATTATTGACCAAACCAAGAATTCACAGGAGACTTTTCTCATGGGCTTAAAAACCCCAAAACATGTTCAAACCTTAAACAGGAGACCTCACCAAAGGAAGGGGAGGGGAACTGCAAAACCTACAGGTCGGGGTTAGCCATCTTGGCTTCTCATCTGAGAACCAGGCTTAGGAAGCAAGCAGGGACAGACCCAAACATTTTGTGCTAACTTGGCACAATTTCTCACCCTCCCCCCCAAAAAAATTACACCCTAGGAATCCACCAAGCCCATATGTACTAATTAGCATTTAGCCAGCGGTTGTCATTTGCAAATTAGGTTGGCTAGAGAGCAATCCCGCTTGTTGAAGGACAGAAGCTCAGGTGAGCATGCTTTGAACATGGGAGGCACACCTCCGGAGCGTTCACCCGTCACAGCCTAAAGCTCCTTTCCAAAAAAAGGAGGGGCTGTAAATCAATGCGCCAACAGCAAAGGCTTCACATCAAACATCCTGAACATGTTAAATAACATAAAGGAAAATGACATTTTAATTGGAATCAGTGTGCCAACATCGTTCTGAGGTCATCAAGCGCAGAAGTTTGAGACGGTTGCAGCTTGCTAAGTTCTTGGAGGAGAAAGCAGATTTGCCATTTTTTTTATTTAGATAGTTTTTTGTAATTTTGAAACAGAAATAAAAATCAGAGGGGGGGGAGACAAAGAGAAAAAAAAGGAGAAGGAGAAAGAGAAGGAGGAGGAGATGTTTTCATAATAATGGAGATGGAGAAGAATTTTTTCATAATAATGGAGAAAGAGGAGAGGAGGAGAAAAAGAAGAATAAAAAGAAGGAGAAGAATGAGAATGAGAAGAATAAAGAGAAGGACAAAGAGAAAAAGAAGGAGAAAGAATAGAGGAGGAGGGGATGTTTTTATAATAGTGGAGATGGAGAAGAGTTTTTTCATAATAATGGAGAAAGAGGAGAANCCTGCCCTCTGGTGCTTTGGAGAGAGACTGGATGTTTGCTGGATTTTCCTGGCAGAATGCTGGAGTGGGAGATTAATGCTGAAAAACTACATAGAGGCAGTTTATCTCAAGAAGTTTGAATGACTGAGAATACAAGCAAATGCTTCATTCCCGTGGAAAAATATGGACCTTTTCAATAAAATGTCCTGGATAGAACCATGATTTGCTTAGAATTACCTCAAAGGAATGCTGGACAGAGAATTGAGGGAGAACCTAGGACTAAGGAGAAATTTCCTGACAGAACAATTAATCAGTGGAACAACTTGCCACCAGAAATTGTAAATTCTCCAACACTGGACATTTTAAACAAGAGATTGGGTAGCCATTTATCTGAAGTGATGTAGGGTATTCTGGCTAAGCAGGAGGTTGGACCAGAAGACCTCCATGGTCCCTTCCAAGTCTGCTATTCTAATTCTAACTTTCCTCTCCCGAATTTAACTTAGTTTGAGAAAGGGCTTCAATATTCTTTTATAGGAGAAGATACTGATAAGACGACATTCGGAGTACTGCATCCAGTTTTGGTCGCCAAAATAATAATTAAAAAAAATATTGAGACTCTAGAAAGAATGCAAAGAAGAGCAAGAAGGATAATTAGGGGGCTGGAGGCTAAATCATACAATGAATGACCGAGGGAACTAGGTACATCTGCTCTAACCAAGAGAAGGACCAGGGGTGGCACGATAGCAGTGTTCCAGTATTTGAGGGGCTGCCACAAAGAAGAGGGGGTCAACCTATTCTCCAAAACTCCAGAGGGCAAAACAAGAGGTGGAAAATTAAAGAGAGATCCAACCTAGAAGTAAGGAGAAATGTCCTGATAGTTGGAACAATAAACCAGTGGAATGACTTTCCACCAGAAGTTGTGGGTGCTCCATCCCTGGATGTTTGCAAGAGAAGATTGGATAGCCATTTGTCCAGAATATTATAAGTATATAGTATAAGGCACTCATGGCTAACCTTTTTGGCGCTGAGTGCTGAAAGCATCTGCACGCACACCCATAATGCAATGCGTGCATGTCACCCCCACGTGTCCTGCCCTGATGCATGCTCCCATGAACCCCACCCCCAATATGCACATGAACCAGGGCTGGGTTCTAACCTCTTCTATAGAAGAGGTTCCACAAATCTACAGTGCCATTTAGNTGGCCAACTTGTAAAATGTGGTGAAACTCACTTAACAATGCACTTGCTTAGCAACCAAAATGTTGGCTCGGAAACTGGCATTTGAAGCATGCAAGTCTTAAAGTTGTCAAGTTACAAGACCCTTGCACCCCTAACCCTTTAGAAAAAAAACCCCAGGGGTGTTCAAACCTGACAGCTTTAAGACTTTAAGATTTAGATAGGACTCTTAAAGGTGGATGGGGCAATTGGTGAGCCAGCCAATCAGTGAGCAGTGGGCGGGGCAAGCATGGTGCGGACGGGCGGGGGTAGGGAGCTGGAACCGGTTCTAAACGGCACGGTAGATTTGTGGAACCTCTTCTATATAAGAGGTTAGAACTGGCAGGAACCCACCCCTGGTCTGGCTAAATGAGAGTGTCTACCCCCAAATCATCCAGTGAACTTCCATGCTGAAGGCTGCCAGTCCAACTTCTTAAGCACTACATCACACTGCTATGTTTCTTAAGTTTTAAAAAGTCCTCTGTGAGGGATATGGATAGTTTCTAAATGTGATTGATAAACAAACAACCAACCAAATTGCTTTCATTGTATTTAATTGCTTGTATGTATGAGAATATTGTTTAAAAAACTGGTTTTTGTTTCTTGTTTGTGATGATTTTAAGATTAGGTTTTGATATATCCATATTTCTTGGAAATGTCTTATGTTGCTGACTTACTGGATACGGCATGATCCTAAATAACAAAAGTCATCACTTCTTGTACAGTGCTTTATTTCAAAAATAGAAATTCCTACAGCTCATCCTATTTACATTGTCTGACTTAATTCCTCCCTCATTGGCTTCTAACTTCTAATATTGAAGGCAATATCATTTGAACAATTCATTTAAAATAACTTTGAAAAAACTGCTGTAATGAAGTGAAGGGATAGCATGTTGCTGTAATTGTTTTGAAAAAGCATCTAACATCTTGTCAACTACAGTCAAAGGGTTCAAGCAACAGCAGATGCTAAGAACAGCTTGTCTTGCTTCCCAGGTGGTGCAGTGGCTCAACAGGTTCCTGTGCAAGCCATCCAGGTGCATCAGGCCCCCCAGCAAACGTCTCCTACAAGCGACAACAGCACTGACATCACACAGACCTCTTCCAGTGGGACAGGTAGGCAACCAATCACCCCTAATTCTCACTTTGCAGCTACAGGTCAGGAGCTCTTCAGGGTTGTCCACCAGAACTCAACATCAAGACGTTCAGTGCTTTTTGGGTTATGAAGGCAACTAGGACTTGAATTTCCATCACTAAACAATACAGTTATAAAGAGCTATGTGACATGACATCGCTTAGTGACAGCAAACCTGGTTGCTGTTGTAACCCCAGGACTATGTGGCTCATTAAGCAAGGAGCTCACATGACTGTATTACTTAGCGATGCTGCATTCGTAACCTCAGGATCATGTGGGAGCTTAAGCAAGGACCTCATGTGACCTCTGACATGGGAAGAAATGAAAGTCCCAGGTAAGCAGGCCATAAGAGCTATGGTCAGGCAGCTACTGTGGGTAGGCACTGAAAAGCAATGGCTATTGAGAGCTTAGGTGGGCAAGTAAAAAAGTGGCAAGAGTTGCTAGAGTGACTTGGAACCTCCTGCTAGTTTCCTCATTGACTTTGCTTGGGGGAAGCCAGCAGGGAAGGTCACAAATGACAAATCACTTGACCACAGAACACTGCAAGTATTGTAATTTTGAGTTGTTGCCAAGCACCCAAATTGTGATCATGTGACACTGGGGATGCTGCAACAACTGCAGTTTAGAGGTTGGTTATAAGTCCTCCTCATTCAGTGGCATTGTAACTTTGAATTGTTGCCATGTAGTCAGAACTGGAGGACTATGTGTAACAGTGGTGTAATTTTCTCCTGACTTTTTTGCAGAAAATCTTAAAGACAAAATGAGCAAAGCCCCCAATAGACTAAGCACATATATACGAGTTTTTAAAAACTTTCTCTGCCACCCCCCCATTGTCATAAAATAAAATGAGTTGGATCAAAACTGCCCTGGCTTCAATACATTTGCTCAGTTCCCATGTATGCTTAAGACAATATGTCATCAGTGTTTCCTAATTCTTAGAAAAAAGGACCAGACTTCCTGCCTTTGGGGGGAAAAGGCAGATCTGTAATCAGTGAGTCAAAATTTCAAGATAGCAGATAATGCGTAATATAGTTTGATGATGGAATTTAGGAAATGAATGGCTTTCCTTTGCTTGAGGCTGAAGAGCAGGTTATCCTGGTTATCGTAGTTCATGCATCTTTTCCAATTATATAATAAGATGCTGTATTCTCCCTGCTCCTGGTAGGGGAAAGTAGGGGTATTCTGCAGAGTGTGCTATTTAATCTTATTGTTCTCACAGTAATAGGAATTCATTCTACATTAATTCTTGTCTTAGGTCAAAGTTTATTATTGTCCATGAGGTCAGGATTTTTTAAGTCAATAGTTCCTTGACTAATTAGTACTGGTAAGTCAGCAATATTTTTTTTTAGCGAAATGAGACTACAACTTTGGTGCCATCTAGTGAAACTAGTAAAAATATATTCCCAAAATATTTCTATTTTTTTAAAATGAAAATTATTTTATAAGGGTAAATAAATCAAAGTCTATTTTGTGTCAAACTTGATTCCTGTGGACTTTATGGATATGTGTGCAGTTTTCACAGCAACAACACGGAAGTGGTTTGTTGTCTTCTAGGATGACATTTAACTTTTCAGTATAATCTATTGTCCTGAGGTTTCTAGTGGTCTCCCATCCAATATTAACCAGTATAACCAAGAACAGACCATCCCAATTGTGTGTTGATGTTCCTATATGATTGGCTTTTCTTAATCTGGTGCAGATTAAGAAAAATATATGTTCCTATGTGGTTTTTCTTTAATCTGGTACAGATCACAAAGACTGCATTTGATTTTCCCTCTAAAACTATTTTATTATGCAAAATTAAAGTCTTGTTCCTTACTCCTCCGTGGCAGCGGATCCCGGAGACCTCCTTGGTTTACCGAGGAACTCCGGGAGATGAAGC